TGGATAGGACACACATTGAGGAAAGCACCCAACTGCATCACAAGACAAGCCCTCACATGGAATCCTCAAGGTCAAAGGAAAAGAGGAAGACCAAAGAACACATTACGCCGAGAAATGGAGATAGACATGATAAAAATGAACAAGAATTGGATGGAACTAGAAAAGAAGGCAGAGTGGGACAGAGTGGGTTGGAGAATGCTGGTCGGCGGCCTATGCTCTATCAGGAGTAACAGGCGTAAGTAAGTAAGTTTATCAACAATAGGAAATGGGATTCTGTAGTCCCTTAATAATGGGAAGCGTTTAAAATTCTGTTCCTCACTGTCTACAGACTGCGTCAACCAAGTTTCTATGGCGGCGTTTACATCCGGCTTGAAGAATTATACCTGCACACCAAGCTCCGACCGCTTTTTGAGAAAGCTCCGGGTATTTGTTTAACAGATCTGTATCCACAGTGGCTTCGGCATCATTCTCTATCAAAACTTCCCCACATGAAAGTTTATAATATGAAGGTTCTTCATTTCAGCATCTAACCTTAGTTTCAGTTCATTAGGCCTCTAGTCAATATACAGCCTGAGTGCGTCAAGCCATTACGGACAAAATTCTCTTGATCCCTTTAGTTTATATCTATTCTGTAGTATTAACTCACTTTCATTAAGAGGTTCAAAAGCTACTTTTAGTGGATTATTTTGATTCTGCTTCAAGTCTATTTGGCTAGTATATAAACCTTCAGAACAGCGTTAGCCGATCTGGTAGCCTTATTATCAATTCGATTTCATTCTCGGAACAGGTTCTTGGTTCTGAGCTTCCACTCTATGAAAGATAACTAACCTGTCTATGATAATTAGAATTACTTGAATTATAGCATTAACTAAGAATCCCAGAAATAACGTATTCGGATCAAGAGGTATTAGATAAGCACGAACGAATGCACTGTATTTGGAATTCGAAATCAAGCATTCAAGAAATACAAAGGAATCATTAGTTCATTCAAACACCACACTGTCACTATGATAAGTCTTCAGTTTATCTGTTACTATTTGAGGGACCTCCTTCTTGGGTAACATTAAGTCGTTCTTTATTCTTGATCTACACTCATCCATTAACTCTTATTGGAGTCACAATCCGGTCCCACACACTTTGGCATCCTGTATGATTGTCCAGGACTTGGGTAATCAGGTGGTTGTTTTGTATTGCTGGATGCAGGCCTGGCCTTGCGGTCAAGTTTTATAGACATCCCTATTCGCTGCCATTTATAGAGTGTGAACTGAAGAAACATTTTTTTCAAAAGATTTTATTTGCAACAGACCTATTTTTAGGCTGTACTTCCTCCGTCAGCCTAAATAAGTCAATGAGCTACATTTACTAAACCGTTTGAAAACCACAGGTGTTAGATGAGAAATTCGTGGTACCGTCCCTATTACTGCATGCCATTCTCCGCAGGGTGACGAAAACTGAGCGTCTGCAATCGATCTTTTTCCACTGTTTGGTCATCACTCAGTAGCTTTTAAAAATAAACTAAACACAAGCAATACCCAGAGACAGAAGAAATTGATAACCAGATAAGAGTGAAAGATTGTAAACTATCAAAGTCAATAGTGGCAACAAATACAAAAAGGACCAAAATACAGATGATAAAAAATAATTTATTGGATAAAGACACTCTCGGCTATTACTTTAGCGGAAATAAACTCATCTAAAGCGAAAACATTAATCACGTTGCGCAATCAACGATCAATAAGACAAATTCAACTCAGAGAGTTAAAATATCACTATTTAGATGTGGACCAGCCAATTGGTTTCAGTATTCATGACGTTTTCATATGTACTTGAGATATTAAGTCGTAAACCTTCCTAAAAAAGACATGGCCATGACAAAAGTAGCAATCAAGTAACTGCTTATTTCCATCATTCGTTTGTTTTGTGATTGTGGCTTATGACTTTTGATAAATGTTTCTGTGATCTGCTCAATCCTTAACTGAGTTGTTGATTGTTACCTCGTATTGTGAATCGGATGAGAAATAAGAACACGCAGATGGTAAATGGGGATTTATTTTGACACTTTAATTGATTCAAAATAATGTCTGTATACTGTGATTTTCACATGATTTATCTTGAATAATAGTCAGGTTTGTGTAAAACTGACATGCTACGATGAATAACCCTCAGAACGTGGTTACAAAAAAAAATACAACGAAACGAATGTACATTATTCAGATATTCATTTACTGGACTGTTAATATCTAGCTGGCGATCACTCAGTATTTATCGCGAGGACCGACCAAGAAGAAAGAAACGGAAACTTGTTGAAATACTTTGTGCTGAGAATTCTATATTGTACCAATAATATAATATTGAATAAAGCTAATAATAATAATAATAATACATATCATGAACATTTGTAAACAGGAACCAGTAACGTACGCCGTCCTAACTGGAACCAATTATGATTTTATTGACAGTGGGATAGCACTACACCCTAATCATGTGGTCCGTTGATTATAATGTATGCTTAGTTAAAAAATTTACCACATACATGAAGAGAATCACTGAACAGCATCATGAGGTAAGTCGCAACTGGGGATTTTGGATGGAAGGGGAAAAGTGAATGACCAAGGAATACATTGAGCCGGGATTTGGAGCCAGACATCAGTACAATGAATAGCAATTAAAAACGACAATGCTTGTTTGTAAAATATAACTTGACCAATTCTGGTTGTCAATATACCTAAAAACACAATTTCGCTGTTGAGGCATAATAAATGATCGGAGTTGTCATGGGATTTTATTTTCGAAAAATAACGATAGCTAATAAAATGCAAATTAGTGCTTTTAACCATATTACTTTGTTATTCTGTCACAAGGTACGGTCACGTTCAATGTCAGCAAAATAATGAGGCTTGGTTAAATTAAACAAAAAAATTTTCAGTAATGTCGAAATTCTTATTTCGATGACAACAGCCTTACTGAATATGAATGAGACAGTTAAGATTGTGTGAAGGATTGGTTATATAATATAAAAGATATCCAGCTTATTTTAATCGGCTGAGCAATCTGATGGTACCTGGTTAGGAATCAGTGAAGTTTGTAGTCTTGTACTGATTATGATAAGACTATAATTTGTGGATGTTCTTGAGCTACTTCAAAGTGACCTTGAAATGGCCCGTCTACTATGATGAAATGAGGTTCATAAGCCAGTGAGAGGAATTACTGTTGAAAAGTAGGGTTAGCAATTAGATTTAGTGTTTCATAACGAACTTACATCAGCTAAAATGGAAAAGCTCTATTTTACCAAGTGAATGAATGAATTTAGCGCCAAAATCTTAAACCTGTTATCATATATCTGATTAGTCCATCCATAAGTTATAATCTCGCCTTCTTGGGAACGAATTATGTGTTAGTATTTTACCAAACCATTTACCAAGCAGTTTAGATAAAAAGGTCACCATCAAATTCAGCAAGAGCGATGACTAAACACGATTAATGATTTAGTATCATTAGGTCAAGCCAATTTTTTCTTACTTGTAACGTGGCTCCCGAACAGCAGCTATTCGTGATCAGTGAAAAGTGTAATCATCACTACGGATGAGCTAATGTAATGTAAACTACTGAATCTGTTATTTCATGGAGACTTACGAAGTCTATCACGGCGATTCCAACTCACACAGGTGACTATATATACACATTCTCACCATGAAAGTAATTTCATCTGCATACTCATGGCCTTAAAGTACCTCTAGGTAACAGATTTCATCGAAACTACTTTCTACTTTCAAAACACTTCAGACAATCAACTCACAGTTTTAATCGTGATCATTTATAATCTTTAAAAACAATAAAAAATGATGGTTTCTAAGACTAATAAAGACTGGGAATTTCCTCATATCAAACATGTGTATATCCATATGGTTGACAATTGTAAACGTCCTGTGTATCTCACTCCCATACAGTGGACAGAGCCTAAATATTTCATTACGTTTTTAGGATGCATCAACTTTAAGCTTAAACAAGCACGGTTGTTTACTCATGTTGAAAGTAGAAAACCTGAAGACTAGAAGACTGAGTGTAAAACTGCCAAAAACTTACTGGGATTAAAATTCAGAAAAGACTAATTGGTCGCTGTTTTTCTTTTAAATAATGCTATCATAGATCCACGAGTGAGATATAGTACTTGAGAGATATCAATCGTTACCTGATATATGTAAAAATGTATACCTGCGATAATTATTTTTAAATATTCTTAAGCAAATAGTACATAAGTCACTATTATATTATTATTGAAACTCTTAATCTTTTTCAAAGCGATAGGATATTTTATGCTTTACAACTGTACACTACTCAACTATTACACAGAATTACATGCTTTTTCTCTACTGTAAAATGATTATGTCATTCAACTAGTCATGCTTGTAAAATGAAGACTACTGAATTCAGAACTAGTAGCATGGGAATCTCTAGTATTATTTCGAAATGTATTAGATACGAACACTATTGGAATATTACACCAAGACAGAGAATTTCCTGCAAATCAACAACACTTTTACCGGAACTGGTCAGTACAGATTTCTGTAAAAATTTAATATATTGATAAATTTTCAATGAAAATTTGTAGAAATTTCGTTACTATACCAATTCTCAAAATAAAAAGAAAAAAAAGTTCATTGTTGATGATTTATAATTGTATTAATTGAACATATATCAAGAAATGGGAAAAGTGCTTTTAAGAACGACTGTTAATGATGATTACTGAAATAAAAAGATGTTCCCTAAAATGATGATGACAGTGAACAAGTGAAATAAAAAATTTGATGTAAAATTTTACAAGAAAACCATATTACTATTAATAACATTATTATTGTTACTATTACAAAGTTCGACAATAATGAGTTATATTATATTGTTGGTTTATGTTTATTCATCCAATGTCATAAATTATGGTCACTATTTCAGTTTTAAGAACTTAGATGGGCATCAGGAATATTCATTTTACTAATCTGCAGTTATCATTCTGATCTTTTTCTAAATTGTTCTTGTGTGATATGGTCTTGACGAAGATGACGACGTCTAACTTTCTTTCCAGGTGCATACAAACTATCAGATAATAAATTAGCATCGTTTGATTTCTTTATATCCTTTAATTGAATCTATAAGTGTATAAGATCAAAGTATAAGTTATGTGGTAAGTGTATTAAAGGAAAGAGGTTAAAATACACAAATTTCAGCCACTCAGAATCTGGTTGAAATAATCAGTGAACCTAGATTCATTGTCAGTTAAAAGATTTAACTGGGAAACTCAAAACCTGAGTCTTCTGGTTACAGCTCGAATATCCTAGACAAATTTATGTATATCACTGTACAGAAACAATCAAATGTTTCGTCTGATCGACTAAATGTGATCGGTAGAAATCCCCTGTATTGGCTCTTTGGTGGTTGACCCTGAACACATACTGTTTTATAAACCATCTCTTTCAATTTATCCAAATAAGAAAGTGGATATCTTGATTGGTGAACTTGAGTCAATGATGACTAGTATAAAGCAAATTTGGTTAAAGTAAAATTTTGAAATTATTAACTTTTAAGTTGTTAGTGTAAGAAATTCACTGTTCTCTGGATGACTTGATAATGTACGAATTTTTGTAAAAATCATTTAACTATTTTTTTTTGTTTCACTCCATGTAGGTAATTATATTACTACAAAAAGTAAACTGAATAACAAGTTATTAAAGCTTTTACGCTGTTGTGAAATAAAACTAAATAGAAATCTGAGAAGTGACATAGTTATGCTTATCTACAGTAACTAAGATGAAACCATATGCAATCTTTTTGAGAAATTGATGTGTTTGTCTTATGAGGGATTTTGTTGTTTATTTGACGAATTGCAACAGTCTTTGATGAATGGTATTTCACCAGTTTGTCTCGGAATTGGTTCTATCCATAAAGTTGAGAAAAAACACGGATGTAAGCATATGATACTCTCAAAAACATTGCATCATTCCTAATTAAAAGGAAACATAATAACACTAGAATATCTAGTTTTCAAAAGAACGATATTGATGGCGTGATTTCTAAGCTTAATCAAGAAAAAAAATAGATAAACTGGTGCTTTAACTACACTTTCAAGTGATTTAAAGCATAAGTTTGGAAATTGTTATTTGGATCAATAATACCATCGTAACTGACTTATGTTTGCCATTATTATTTACTGTGGTTGTTTATAGTAGGTGCTTCTTTTGATAAAAAGATAATGGGCGAGTTGATAACTAGATAATGTTGGTTAGCGTACATGATATTATATCGCTATTTTCAACTTTTGCAATATTATATTTACTATTTTCTAGCCTCTAGGTAAGACTCATTACACTAGATATAAGTTAAACTAACTGTCTGTGAATTTTCCGAGGTCAATTTTTGAACAGGTGAATAAATGATCAGCCTATACTACATAAATATACATTACATTTATAGCGAAAAATAAATCTGCATAATCATAGATTGTCTTCAAGTGTAGATCTCAGACGCGTTTAATTTCTATCAGCTACGTCATAAAGCGGAATATGCATGGATCTGTTTCTATCCATATTGTAATAAGGTAAAGAAGACAATCCACTTGCTAACTCACTATTTAAAGCACTGCATTTAATCCTATTGATTTAATATACGAATGAATAAATGGATAATTGGTATTTACAGGTTTATTTGTTACATAACTATATAGCTATCTAATGAACATATAGTAGCTAAATAAACATCTTGATAATAAGGTAAATTTCAATATTGAGCCATCATATATACATAATGAAGGCTTAATTATTACTTATGTTCTGTGAACATTTAGACTTTAAGTTTATTCAGATCATTGTAAATGTTTCTTTGATCCAAACTTGTTTAGAAGATGAAAATAAATTTCTATAAAAGATTTCTTGTGTGTATATTAGACTTTATTCATAAGTAAATACATTATCATTTAGTACTTCTCATTGTCCACTGATTTGCCATTTATTTTGTTCATTTAATCCAAATATCATTAGTCATCTACATATTTTCAATCTTTTTATGTGCATATATGAATAGATTTATGAAGAAACGTGCTAAACTATCATTTTCCACTTTCATGTGTAGAGCGTAAGTACACGTGAACACGAAATGGAATTTGTTTTCGAGTATATTTAAACTAGTGACAAACTCATGCATAATTGACTGGAAACTTATTCTTTCCCTTTTGTTTGTTTCACTTTTTGTCAATAAGGCTTCTGAGGTTAATAGTTCTCGGTATAAAATCAAAACTTTGACCACAGTTACATAATTCCATATTATAAATAATCGAAGTGTTTTTAAACTTTTTTATTTGGATCTAATTATTCGTTCGACAAAGTATTTATTGTCTGTACTCCTTAACTTTAGAAACTAGTGGTTCATTGTTTTCTTTTTTTTTGTAGTTAACCTTACACTCATCATATTTAATGTAGAGAATGATTATTTCGTGTCATTTTTTAAATATTATTCATCTTAGGGCTTTTCTTTAATAATATGATGGTTTGATAAAGTAAACTGAATAAGTATGTAGTCTTTGAAAGCTGACAATTAATTTTAAACTCATGGTAAGTTGGAATTATGCTTACCTCACTAACAAACAACTACTCATAGAATTGGTAGATGGTGGGATTTTTCATAGCACAGCTGCCATATGTTTGAATGGTCAAAGGCAACTGTTACGAAGTTTCCATGTTAACTGGTCATCATTAACAAGGGATATATAAAATTCTTCAGCGATTGATACTCTCAGGTAATTTAAAATCTCATATCATGTAGTTTCACAGTCACAGACGACGTCATTAATCTATTCAACTAGGAAAAGACTTCCTAAATAACTAACTTAATGATAATTGACCGATCGATTAGCCTATCAATTATTGATAGCAAATGAACTTAGTGTTTATCAAATCTTACTAAACAACGATCGTTAGGTTAAGTGCCCGATTAATGTTTTCATATCACTGGTTATTTACTGTTCGGGTAGTTCATTAAGAATACTTCTGGTTAGTGAACCAAGTTTGAATTTCGGAGATTAATTTATTACATTTAAGGTTTTTAGTATTTCTATTAATGCTTACTATCCAACATGAAATCTGAGCATTAAAATTCGCACCAACTGCATCCATCTTTTTAACACTGAAACTACAATGGGGAAAAAATTGGTAAGTGAGCTGATTTTATTTGTTAAAATGCTATAAACCATTTACTCTCTTATGGAATTACTGCCTAACTAACATTTATTTCATACTCCATCTTACCAAAAGGTTAATTCAGTGTATAACCACTCAGCTTAGTGACTAAATATCCCATTTGTCCGATAGAATCAAATTAAGATTGGGAAATACGAATAATGATCTTAACTACCCGTGTATTTTAAATAGTTACTAATAATTCTGGAAAAAAAGTTGACTTACTCCAACTTTCTCTGCTTGTTGTGTAAAGGCAGACATACACTCAATCAAACAAGTGTAACATTCATTCTATGAGTAAAAAAATAAAATTAAAAAATAATTAGTGCATAAAGGCAATACTACTCATAATTTATTAATTTAGGGAAATTCATGTTATTGTAACTGTGTGTGTCAGTGAAATATTTAGGACTATTTTGAGTACATGATTAAGCTTCATTAATACAGATTATGATGAAGAAGATTTACAAAAATCAATCAGAAGTACATACCCTTAACAAAGTCATGATGACCTCCTGTCCTCCACATATCTGCTAGATGAAAATTGTAAATGTTAGCGGAAAATCTAAGCGACTTACAATAAAATCAAACTTTTATTTATGTTTATGTTGAAAACTTCATGTATCGTGATTTAGTAATCTAATTCAGATCTATAAGGCAATATTCAAAAAGATTCTCATTCTTTGAACAAAGTCGTTGTATTTCATTTAGAATATTTAGCTCGAGGTGAAAGTATTGAAAATAGTAGACACTTTTATTCAGTGATTACTTAATTTTACATTGTGTGAGATATAGAGATAAGACTTACAAAATCATTTTTTTAGGATAAATAAAACATTCCCAGTAAAAAATGGAAATTTTTGATGATTGATGTCAAATAAGAAGAGAAATTACCTTTGTTTTGCAAAATGTATTGTAATTAAGAAGCTTGAGAGTGTATTCCAGTCATTTTCACTAAGGTTATCAGGTAATGTAAGGAGTACAGATAAGCAGCTAAAGCATTAAAGTCTGTCAAGGAAAGTGTAGGATAACTACGTACTGCGATAAAGAATGATGATGTAAGAAGAATTAATGGTGCATAAAACATGTGATTCAGAAGTGAGAAACTTTTTTTGCGTCTAGTTTATTTTTACAATGAGTACAGGAATGAAGCAAATAACATACACATATGGTGAAAGCTCCAAAAATGTTCTAGTTCTCACTTAGTTATTCATCTGGATACATGTATTCAAAATATGTATGAATTATCTTCCAAGTGTTACTTATTCTAAAATCATTTTCATGATTGACGTGTACAGAGGATACCGTTGGACATAGATAGATAAGACAAGATTTTAAAACACTAGTTTCAGTGTCAATGAACAGGATAAACCATAACATAAGTCGTTTCGTCATTTTATTAGCACAAAACACTTATTTTTGATATTAAGAAACCAGTCAACAGATTTAATGATCAATACTTAAGAAAAAACGATTCATTTCATTTATAAAAAAAACTGAAAGTTCTAAATGTGAAAAACGTCAAGACAACAAACAGAATACTAAAACAATATTTTATTTTTGTAAACAAAATCTATAGCTTATTAGCGATATAATTTATGAAAGTCTTACTATCCGATTTGCCACACATAAATATGATTCTGTTTGTGAAAGTAAAATATCAAAGTATTCTAGAAATGTCATTGAATGACATCGGAAGTGATACTTAGCCACAAGAGGAGGGATTCGAATACCTCACTTCTATTTGTAGTCTGTATTGATGTTACTCAAAAGAATAATAAAAACTTCACGATTAAATCATCTAGCTCAGAGAATGAAACTCTATGAACATCATCCACCTAATCTAAAAGTCTTCTCCACCATCTCCGTTTAATAAGTATTGATCTGAACACTGAAGTCGTTTCTGAAAATACTCACTTTATTCATGTGAACAAGCGATGGAACCATGTCTGTCTTCTGCTGGTAAGATACTTTCAAACTATTCATTCAATGCTAAGTTTATGATCATAAATATTTCCAACCATAAAATGAAATCACAAAATATTTATTGATGTAGAATACTGGAATAAAATTAAAGGAATAATGAAAGTGATTCACTCTAAGACTAGTACACACAATGTACATTGTTTTACACGTTAGCAAATATAACATAAAACATTCACATTCTACATATAACTACAAATTTACATGTACGTTGGAAGAAGAAGAAATGACTACATTTTATTAGTTACATTTTTAATCCATTTCCCTGAGAAAACATTAGATATCTTTCCTATCATGCTAAGGTAATAAAAGAAAGGTGGAGTTTCCTTTTTTTGCTTTCAAAATTGTTTTCGGCTTCTTTGTTCACAATTTTTTTTATGTTCAAGTGATATGTTGTGTAATTTTTCCCATTGTAATTGATTGAATAATAATGGGACATTTATAAGCATAAGCATTAAAATTGGAAATATATACATTACTAGTGATTGGTTAACATTGAAGTTGTAGAAAGATTCTATAAAATGACATTAGTTATATTACCCAATATAATCAATATATTGATTTCAAATATCATAAATATTACTTACTTCATTAGCCAAATAAACAAACAGACTATGATTACATTTAGTTGAACAGTCACGACGACATTCAATGAAAACTTTCAATTTCACTAAAGAAAACAATGAGAAAAGGTGATGATTAGGCTCAATATGAGTATTAGGAATACTCAGATATAAATTTAAGGAAACTAGTGCTTATGCTTAAAAAGTTTTATTGACAAAGATTTATGATTCGGAAGTTAAAAAGAATTACTGGTAAGATTTAACATAACGGTATGGTGTTTTTACAACCGGTTCTCCTGATTGAAACAGATGAATGAAATGGTAATTTGTTTGTACAGTAGCAATTATCCAATGGTTTTAGAGTCAGCTATTTTGATGTTATTTGAAATTTTCGTTAATCTATATTTTATAAATATATTGCCCCAAGACATTTAGATTCTTGTTTATTTCTACATCAAGAAAATTTTCCATCGGTGATAATATATAGGCAATGGACTTGACTTTATGAGGTGTTTTATCCACAACTTATTGAGAAGTTACATTACTTCTTTTGTCCAAGATATGTTGCATTGGTCCGAAACTCTGTGAGCTTTAAGAGTAGGTAACTTTTCAATAGTTCTTTCGATAGTGAACTTTAAAAGGCCTGTCAAATATTTTAAAGTTCATACCTGTGTGACCTACAGTTTTTTATATTCGTGGTAAGATTCGTTGTTTGGGAAGTTCAAATGGAGGCCAATATAAGTTTTATGATATTTCAAAATGTCAAAATTATTTGTAATATCACACAATCTGCATCTTGATTTTATTCAAAGTAAGGAAATCAGATTTCAATCCGGACAAATTCAAATAATAACATTCAAAATTAACATTGGTATTTTGTTTTGAAACTTTATCTACATGTTGTCTTCCAAAGGCACAACAGTTCTTGAATATGAACAAGTGTTTATAATTTTGCAATGTTTCGTGTAAAACTTAAAAATCAATCATTTGAAATAAAAGTGCCATATTTAAAATAAATAGGAGAGTTTCGTCCGATAATTTTAGTCTGTTTTATGCAACTAAAGCAAGTGACATGTCCATTTTCATTCATAAGTGAAATCCCTCTTTTACTTTACAATTTAGCAGTTGGAGCACTATCTTAATCTATATACGGAGATGTTTGCATGACGATGTCTGAACGAACATAGCTGATAAAATAATTATCTTAATCACCGAATGAGTGAGTACATATGATTGGTGCTATACATATAAACCAAAATTCTGTATTCTCATATAGGATAATGAGATAGTGAGGACGATTTGTAGCTGAGATGGTGGATTTTGGTAGAGTTTTGTTCTCTGAGCTGGTTGTTTTTGTCATGGAGCTTTCGTCATTATTCTGAACGACATAATCAGCACAAACTTTGTGCTGATGATAGCTCATTACATTCTTATGGACTACCATCATATTACAAAACAGCTGAGAAATATTGCATTCTATAAACTGAAAGTCTACAGAACTGTTTTATTTTCATACTTTTTTATTTGAATAATGGAGGAATACCCAGTGCTACATCAGTACACTGTCTTAGTTAGATTGTTATTTTTTTGTAACAAACTTTAGGCGTAAGTAAGTAAAGTAAGTATGTATATTAGATAAGGTAATTCTAAATCATTTATTTCTTTGCAGCACAATCTGTTACTAGTTACCTCAGTTTAATTGTACGAATGACTATAACTGCCGAACATCATTAACCGAAATTTGTGCTAATTAATATTTATCCACTAGTTTTTTTTCCAATGTAGCAAAATTTGAAATCGACAACACATAAAAAATGATGTAACTACTGACAAGCAAAATTCTACATTTGATTATTAAAATAGTAAATACTGATTGATAGACAATTCGCTGTACACTAATATACATTGAATGTTTTATTTCACCCGTAATTGTTCCGTTTTTCGGCACTGGCTAGAATTTTCCAAGAAGTACCGATTGTTAAAAGTTACAAATTTATTTGCTGTTTACTATAATTTTAATAGAATAGGAAGAATTTATTATTATTATTATTATTACTGGAATTTCATTAAAGTTTTATGTTAATTACGGAAAAAGTTCGATTTATAAAAATCGAAAAAGGACAGAAAAGTTGTGAAAAACCAGGTCTTTGTTGGAAAATATTACATAGAATAACTTCTTGATGTTCGATTTTATATAAACATCTTAATAAGCAGTTATCTTATGGATTAATGTTTCGTGATGTTCAATGCTCAGTGCATTACCCAACAGCATTACATTGTCATTAGAGCAAACTGACTACTTTTCAGTATTCACTATAAGAAACTTATTTTGTGCCATTCAATAATACAAAGAACACGAAAACGTTGAAACGTACATGTTCAAACTATAATTTAGAATGTTAACCTAATAACTAGCCTGTCTAAATAAGAACCATTTACGTTGTACATTACACTTCTTTGTATAACATACAAATAAAAGTTGTTATAGTGATTAACCTACTCTCTTAAGTATATATTGGAAAATGTATACAGCATCAGCGAAATACGTTTTTTAAATCATTTGATTGAAACGTAATATATTTAAATAAATATGTACAAGATTAGATTATGGAAGTAGTTTTAGACAACCATAAAGTAAAGAAATCTTTTCTAGGCTCGATTTGAAGAACACATCTAGGTCCTTCCTACCGGGAAATAGAATGTCAAGCACATATTGATCTGATGTTATATCACTAACTAAATCTGCTTCACTCACTCAGCAATGTATTGGTTAAGACTTGACATTGCAAAATCATTCACGGTTTAGTTGTAGTATATAGCCTGAAAGTTTCAAGTTTGAGTTTAGTAGGGAATCTGCTTTTTTTCAGCTTAATTTGTCATAATATGTTAATCATAATGATCATTACACGTGTCTGATTCAAAGACTCTTATTTATAAGTCATTGGAATTTGATGTCCACTGCAAAATGTTGTCATCTATAGGATTATCAGCTATTAGTGAAAAAGCCTTCATATTCAACTACGAATTTCACGGTTTCTGTCATCAACATTAAAAAAAATTATTCACTAACGAGATACCAATGTATAAGTTAGATGGATTTCTAAGCTGTTGTGCACCAGAAATGTCAACCACTCGATTCTCAACAGCTTAGTTTGAATTAATAATTAACATCGGAAGGTTATAGCATTCACAAGAAGATTCTTAGTTCATCTCACAACTAACAACTGGCCTGAGCAATAAATGATTATGAATATACAAGGTTTCTAATCATTCCCAACTTAATTTCGACTTGTGTTGAAAACTTAATTGAAACCTAGCAATCTTCATCTTGTAGGGAATGAAACATTAAATCAAATATTTGCGAAGTTGCATCTGAGTGACTGTTTGATGTTAATTCAAGTACTATTAGATGGCCAATCTAAGCTACTACAAAATGTTTAATAATCCTTGTTGTAGGTAGAAAAAGTGGAAATGTAGCATTATATCGTTTAATTCAATCTAAATCAATTTTAACTATTTATATTATGATAAAAATATGAAAAGTCATTTATTGGTTTCAGATACATATTACATGCAGTCCTGAACATCAATGAGAAGATACAAATAGGATGAGACGCGCGTATTGGATTCCACTGCTAGCCACCATCCATCTTTGCTTATAATGTTTGTGAATTAAGGCAATATCGAAGCAATACGCACAGTATGCACATATGCCAACAAGAGAGTGATCATTTTCAGTCCTGACCAACAATGAGAAGATTCAAGCAAACAATACCATATCAGTTACATATTGTTTAATTTTAGAATTATTGGATTAAAAGTAAGACAAAAAAGAGTATCAATTTTATACATACAATTTAATTGGACACATTTTCTCTTATGAATAACTTTCATTTTACATAAATTATTACCTCACTTCATGAATTTATTTGTCAACTTCTAACTAAAAAAAATAATTTTCCTTAGTGACTCTTGTGAAAAGAAAACTCGATTTTATCAAGTAATACTTGTATAACTATAAATAGTTATGTTATTATTGCAAATATTCTCTATAGACTTATAGTAACCAAAATGAACGTTATATGTTAGGCTTTCTATCCATTTACATTTTACTATTCAACATAATAAGACGTGTATGAATATCAAACATATGTAAATAGATATCCCATTACACTAAAAAAATTTCAAATCTATTTTGTGCAAAGACTGGTTGCAGTAGATACGAACTTTTATTAATGTAAGTTAAATACAATTACTTGTTATTCATAGCTTTTCTCTTTACTGAATTCTTTATTATATCTAATCGAGTACAAAACCAAGTGAAATTGAATAACATCACTGTTACAGTGATAGTATGACAATGAATAAATATAACACATAATCTACCAAACTGCTAATTGTTATTACTACTGGAGTTTTTTAAACTAACATATGGGAGATTTACACATCACTGAAATAAAAACAAGAAAATTCTTAACAAATAAAAAAATGAATTTTTAAACCGCGAACCTTGAAAAAAATAAAACTCTGTCGATAGTCTGTAATTTTGTCGTCATGTAAAGATGTTTCAATGTAATATTACTATTACGATAACCTTATGTTAAAATACGATCAATCACCTTGTTATCATTAACAAACGTTATATTAATTGTTCTGATTAGAATTGATTTCTTGAATTGGTATAAACAGAGTGATTAGTGAACTGACTTGAATGCTTTCAATGAATGAATATCGAAAGATGGAATAATTCAACTTTAAAATGGATATTCTAAGGTAACAAAATGATGATGTCGAGGTTGGTAGAGCTAAAATATATAGTGATCAGAATAAACATCACAAATGACATTAAACTGTCTTAGTTCATGATTAATGTCTGCAATGAACTAGAGAAAGTGAAAAGCAGCTTATTGTTGAGTTAAAACCAAAAAAACGACAAAAGTGAATATCTAAAATCTTTTAACTAACAGATCCTAGTTAAATTATACAACATGGTATTGAAAACATAAGTTTTAAGCTTCTTACTGGAATAAATTGAAAGCTTTCTATGATAAATATTTTCCTATGAAACATTGAATATTCTCAATAAATCAAATCACTGATAGCAACA